TGTATTACATTGAACAATCGTAATTACAATACTCAACCCCAAAAACCGCTCTTATTACACCAACATAGGTGTCACAATAGTATTTGGCCTTTTTTAATAATTCACATAATTGGACCATGCAAGTAAAATTGGCATGCAACTGAAGTTAGTCAGCATTAGCTGTCAATATAGATTTGTAGTTAGTTGTAAAACATGTCTAAGAGTGCCAAGTTTTCTAGAAATTAGCGCCATTTCGTAATATATGGACGTTCAGTGAGATAGTTTGATGAAGGCTGGTATGGTAGCATTTCTACTTTCTGGGTTCAATTTTCCGGTTCTAAGAATTATTGGTTCGTCCAAATTTAAGAAAATGTTCTTTCCTTTTCTATGTGTTATGTATTGTATGTATTCTATCCCACTCTATTCACTGGGCAAATTATGACACTTTGTTGTACGTCTGGGATCAAAACCAGTCCAACGGAATCTATGATCTCTTCTTTCTTTGGGACGGCTCGGCTAAATACCAGCTGGACGTGCTACTACGCATTGAGAGGCGTGCCATCAACGATGATGTGCTTCTAAGGCTCCAACACAGGCGTAAGGTTGCTAGCATTTTGGTTTTTTACCGGATACATTTCGGGGAATTGCATAACTTGATCCCTCCTAGTCCTTTCCATCATCGTACCACAAGACCATCGGCGATACGTCACCGATTCATAGTGGATGGCCCACTCACTTGCATGAAGCGCTTCGCTTCAAGTTTCCTTGTACGTACTGCTAAGGATGGAGGAACTCTTTGCCAGCCTGTGGTTCTTGAAGAGTATAACCTGGGGGTCTTCGAAGTCCGAGTGAATTGCTTATGGGCAGATGTGCTTAATCTTAGGAAAAACATATTTACTGAGAATGTTGTAACTCAAAAATATTTTTATCCAAATTGCAAACTCTGTTTGTAATCATCGTCTCATGACATCCTTACTCGAAAATCACTCGATTTATATAATAATACAAGAATTATCATACTATTAACCATAATACACCGAAGACCTAGACAGCAAGTCTCCAGCAACAATTCATATCGATCGGTAAATACGTAGAATTAAAAAATCAAGGGTATTAATGGCATTGTTGATTGCTACCGACACGCGAGCCAAGCCAAGTGATTTGCCCTTGTATTGATTGCTTGTTAAAACGCTGTTTGTTATCGTTTTTATTGAAACAACCGTTTATTTATCTGATGACAATATTGTTTCACAATCATTGAGTTATGTTATTTTTGTGTATAAACATACAATTTCATCCACATCTAGAAAAACACTAGGAATATTAAAATAAGTCGTCGGTCCTTAGCAGTTTTCGGAACAAAATCGTTGTCTAAGGAAAAACTTAGGTAATCATTAAATGTCGCTGAATATGGCAGTTTTTTTTTCAATTGATGGGCCGTCAGATGACCACTATGTGTAGTTAGTCAGTTGCAGTTCTACGTGTGAGAGACAGGGTGATGCTCTTTGATAAGAGCATCACCCTGGATTTTTTGAGCGCTGAAACAGGTCTCTAAATGAGGAATAGTGTCTGATTTGTGTAACCTTACATATTTTTGAACTTCTATTCCTTATCTTTTACTGATTTCTAGGGTTTAGTTAGTGCTATCTTCTACAGCCTTGAAATTTTCGGTTCACTCTCTTCTCAACAAACAACAACAAACAACAAACAAATATATTTATTTCCATTTTGTTCACATTTTGTACTTAATCAAAGCTTATTATTTAACTATTCTAGGTAGCTTACAATACAATGCCTGTATAGAATTAAATCTGTACCACAGGCTTTGTGGTCGCGTGCATTATACATTAGGATAATATAACTAAGCCTTAACAATATTATTTCTACAGTCACCAAAAATTACAAAACCTACATATGTATACATAAGTTAGGAAACACTAACTTTATACTTGCATTTATTAAAATAATTATTATCTATTTATATCTATATATTATTTATTTCATGACAATCAACAAATCCTCGCTTTTTTCATAACTTAATGATAGTAGATACTGAGAAATGCGCTGTTTTGCTCTGGTGTAATTTACATTGTAAACCAAGGTTTCTTTATTAATTTTATTGTACAGATATGGCCCTAAAAATGCAAAAAATCTATGTGTAAATACGTACTTTGATTCATAGCTAGCAGTACAGACAATATCTTTCCGTCTCTTGGTGTTAGTGAGGTTAGCGTCATATGTAAGTGTAGTATGCTGTTTTAGTACAGTGGATAGTATGAATAATTGTCGCACTGTCAGCACTTTACTAGACTCATACAGTAAGCCTGTGGGGTAGCGGTACGGTCTGTGCGTGGCGACTTTCAAGATGGCTCTTTGCGCTCGTTCGATTGGAAGTATCAATGTTTTTCCACTTCCGCCCCAAGAAGTAATGCAGTATTGGATTATCGATTGACACAGGGCTTTATAAATTTGAATAATTAACTTGTGATCACCAATAAGCCGCAATTTTTTAAAAACAAATATCAATTTCCGAACTCTAGATGTTAATGCAGCGATATGTTGTTTAAAGGAAAGGGTTTCATCTAGAATAACTCCTAGATACTTAATGTTATCTGTTATTACAATTTCCGGACAGGTACAAGCGTTAGTCACGATTGAGCATTCTGATTTATGCGCATACAAGTGAAATTCATTACGTGCTAGAGGTTTACGCATATTAAATTTTATAAATTTTGTCTTATCAGTATTTATTGTTAGTAGATTTATTTTAAGCCAATTATTTACGACATCAAACCCTTGCTGTGCACAGCTTTGAACTTCTGTAAGAGAACCTGCTGAAAACAGCAGAGCAGTGTCATCCGCATATGATACAATAGTGCCACACTGTAGTTTGAGGTTACATAGGTCATTTATGTATACCAGAAATAGGGTTCCTCCGAGTACGCTCCCTTGTGGAATTCCATATAGCGGTAGCAGTAATTCGGAACTAATGACGTTGCCTATTTTTACACATTGCCGTCTATCCCGCAAGTAGTCTCTAAAAAGTTCCAACTGTGTCCCTCTTATTCCCAACCCCTCCAGTTTGTCTAGTAGCAATGGGATAGATACCGTATCAAAAGCTTTTGCTAAATCAAGGAAAATTCCCATTACTTGCTTACTTTGTCCAAGCTCTCCTGATACATAGTCAGTTAATGTATGTACTGCATCAGCTGTCGATAATTTGGCTCTAAAGCCGAATTGCTTGTTAGATATAAGGGAGTTATTTTCGAGATACGAGACTAGTCTATTATTTATAATTTTCTCAAGAACTTTAGAGATTGACGGCAATATAGAAATAGGCCGATAATTATTTACCAAGTCCTTTGTACCAGATTTATGGATAGGGATTACTACTGCTTTCTTGAGGCATTTAGGAAATGTACCACTAGAAAAGCAAATTTTAAAAATATGAGTTAGTGGCGGTATTAGTATGTTCCTAAAGGTTTTTAGTATATTAGTGCTGATATTATCCCACCCTGTCACAGGACTATTTTTTAAAGATATAATAATTCGTTCTACTTCACTTTCGTCCGGTTCTAGTAAAACAAAAGACTTTCCACTACCAATACATGGCCTCGGAGATGGTATCGTAGTATTGAGGTCATTATAACACTGTCTTTGAATGTTTTCCGCTAGCCTCACACCAATATTAGCAAAGAAACTATTTGCGTTGTTAGCTGATGATAGCGGGGTTTGATCCGTTTGCAATAAATCAGTGTCACAATTATTTTGCTTCGTCATGAATGTGACTGACTTAATATATTTCCACAGTTGTTTGGGATTGTTTCCGGATTGAGCTATTTGTGATTTGTCGTATTCATTTTTTATACGTTTTAAGAGGTTATTGCAGAAATTACGATATCTTTTATATGTTGTCTGGATAATTAAGTTATTAGGGTTTTGTTTGGCTTTTCTGTGTAGTCTATCGCGGTGTCGTATACACCTGACAAGTCCCTCCGTTATCCACGGTTTTATGGTGCAATTTTTCTTACTTAAGGTTATTGTGTTAGTATTATTTAAGATAGATAGTTGTACATGTTTAATAACATAATCCATTGATTCGTCAGCATCAGCAGAATCAAAAACTGGACTAAAGTCAATATTGCATAAATCACGTCCCAGATTAATCATATTGAGTCGCGATTTTTGCTGCGGACGCGAAAAATGTTGAGTCCGATTTAATTCAAGCGTAAGCAAAATTGCGGAATGGTCTGTGATTGTTGAGTTAGTAACAAGTGTTAAACACGGAAGTCTAGTTTTTAGCATGACGTGATCCAAACATGACCCACTTTGATGAGTTGGAAATGTGTGTGAAGGTAAAATGCCATGATATGCACAAAGGTTTAGGTAGTCTTGAGTACCTGCGTCAATGTTATCAGAATTTATATTAATATTTAGGTCGCCAATTATGATGACAGTTGGAAAGGATGACAAATTTTGTAGAATATTATCTAATGACTTATTAAATTTATCTAAATTTCTGATGGAAGGAGATCTATAGATTGACACGATTGCTATTTCAGAGCCTATTTTAATAATAATACAATTAAATTCCAGGTTTGTTGGCTCTTCGATCGAAAAATGGAGAGATTGTTTTGTATATATTACGATTCCATCATTCTGGTTAAAATTTAGTGTAGAGCTAATGTAATTGTAACCTGGTAATATAGGCATAATCCCATTTTTATTTGAAAGCCAACATTCTGTTAGTACAATGATATCGCACTGTGACTTTAATCTTTGCAGAAAGATACTTAGACTATCAATGTTTTTATATATGCTGCGAATATTTTGAGTTAGTATTGTTAAAGGACTTTTGAAATCGGCGAGATAATGTCTGCATTTTTCTGTTTCAGAAACTTTTGAGTAATATACTGCATTGTCATCGAGATCATTAATCAATTGATTAGCCATATAAATTACAAAAATATTAATCAATCAATAGAAAATAAAATTAAACTATCTAAATATTACTAGTGCTACTGATAATATAAAAGGTGGCGCTCTTAGGCGCCCTCATTATAGTCAATAGAGTTAATGTACCTCGTTTCTGCTGTCTTCTTTGCCGGGCATTCAAGGTCCCCAGTTTTGTGACTGCTTGGCTTTTTGAACCGGGAGCATGTTGCACATTTTGGCGGCTTGTCCTTCTTAGTGCAGTCTTTAGTCTCATGCCCTTGTTCTCCACAATGTCCGCATGTGCATGTAACTTCGCGACAAGTTTTTGCAGCATGCCCATATTGCTGACATTTAAAGCATCGGGTTACGAGAGTGAAGTCACGTACAGGGCAGGAAGTCCAGTTGATATAGATTCTCTCCTGATTTATGAGAGCTTTCCTTACATTGGCTGGGACTTCTATTATAAAGTTGCATGTGGGCGCGTCTTTTTTCCCTGACTTGTGGCTTAACTTGATGCAAGACAGGAATGATTCTCGCGACATATTAGGCATCTTATCGGCCAGGTTCTGCTCGTAAATTGAATCGAACACCTCTTGGTCTCGAAGAGCTGCGGGCACGCCGACTACTATTATTCGCGGCCTTCTTTTGTGAGGTTCTTCGACTTTCAGGCCTGAACTGGTCAGCTGGCTTGATCGACGGAGTTTTTCAATGTCCTCGTTTGATTCGGTGCTAATTATTACACCTCCGTTCCTTGTTTTTCTCATACCCCTAACGTGCAATTTCATTTGCTCTGGATTAATAATCTTTTGCACGAGCGTTTTGGTTTCGTCACTGGATTTTAGTGCATCGTTCGGATAAATTGCGATTGACTTCAAATTAGAGGGTCGCAGGACACTTGATTTGTTCGTCTTTAATATATCAGCAAAGGACATATTTTGAGCCACAGGTTTACTGCAATTTTCTTGGATTGACTCCTTAATTGACTTTTTAAAGTCGTTCAGGCAAGCAGCAAGGTCCTCCTTTTCTCTTAAGGCTTCCAGAGATGTTTTTATCTGGCAAGCCCTTTGTTTTAAGGTCTGATAGTGGATCGCCATTTGGGAGACTCCATTTCCGACCCTTCGTGCCAGAGTGTTAATATTAAGTTTTTGCTCAGAGTTCAACTTACCCTCTGCAGCAATCTGGCACACATCATTGAGAGCCTTTTCTATTGTCACCATCCAACCCTTAATGTCACTGGTCGAGAGTGCTTCCAAGGTCTCTTCGGCGGCATGTTCTGCGGGTTGCGGAGTGCTGGGAGGGCTGCGACACGTTTTCGAACTCCGATTGAAAGGGCTATTTTCTATGTTAGCCATTGTTTGCGTTTAATTATGTAACATAGTGTATTACAAACTAAACAAAATTTACTAAATGTTGTATAATCTAGGTCAATACTTTATTGACTAAATGTTTACATGAATAAAAATAAATATTGCAATTCAGGCACGTCTACTCGCCGTCGTGGTCTCGTAGAGAAAAAACTCGTTAGCATTTTGATGCCATTATAAACATGACTAACAAACAGTATGTCTACAACATCTCAATCACTTCTCAGAAAAACAACCTCAGTTTTATTTATAGCACAAACAATATCATTCCGGTACAAAAAGAAAAACTTTCAACCAAAATTACTATCAAATAGTCATAATAAAAATGGCCGCTCATAATTTCGAGCATAATAATCGTAGCCATTCGTCCCGGGAATAAATGCGGAGTTGTTTGAATTTCGTATAAAACCCTGGACAGCCCAAGGATTGCTTTGTTCCATTTTATTTGCTTTTCATTCGGAAGCCGGCTGTCACCAAAACCCAGTGTTGTGTACAATACTTGTGTCCGTTCAATTTTAGTCTATTAACATGTTTTGATACAATTCCGATTGTTGTTTTTCGACTTTTATACTTTAAAGCAGGTTTATCGGTATTTGTACTTTTTTATGGGATAAGCCGGTAAACCGTATGTCCGTCTAGGGGCCGTCGGTAGAGGGCGCCCTAGACGGACATATAGTGACCAGATTGGCGATATATTAGAGAAGGGCCAAATTAAAAGTACCCTTAACCGACGAGCATGCATGAAAAGATTGATGACTGTTAATGAAGCGAAAGAGGTATGTAAGAATCGTAGTAATGGGGATGTTGACAGGGTATAAAAATTAAAAATATAATTAGTCCGTAAGTTAGGTAATAAAAAAATATTAGACACGTATTTTTTTATTTTGTCGTATAATAAAACAATACTTAGATAAAACGAGTTAAAGTTTAGGAGTGGGGGGTAAAACGTCATTTCTTAGTATAAAATGTACTGAGAAGTGAATCACGCGACATTTCAAATCAATATATCTTCAAAACTATTCGTTTCCGTGAGAAAATAAAAAATACGTGTCTAATGTTTTTAAATAATCTACCAGACGGACATTAAAATAAAAATTAGTCGTCTACCCCATTGGCGTTCCTTAGTCTCTGCCTACCCCCATGGGAGACAGGCGTGAAGTTATGTATGTATGTATGTAAGCCGGTAAACGAACAGACAGATCACCAACAGCGCCGCACATGTACACACGAATTAGCAGAGGCATTTCGGGACTTCACGTTTCGGGACGACTTATTGAATTAAACAGTTTTTAACATGATCATCATTGCATTGTAATGATTCTGGTTTACAAGTCACAGGATTGACCATCAGACGCTCCAAAAGTAATAATGCATACTGCCGATAGTACTAAAACAATATCACAATCAATTCCACAAGAGCAAATAAAACAAAAACAGAGACCTTTACGCTCCTTTTACTGGAGAAAAAACAACACTATATTTTGTAGTTTTCGTTAAAGCATTGAGTCTGTGACACACATTGGTTGAAGTAATAATAAAACGTAAATAACATTAAGGACACAAGTGACGTAATGTCCTTGAATTAGGACTAGACTGAGACACAACAGTTTTATGGCTAGACTGAGGACGGAATGAAGTCAGGACATTAAAGGATCGGTTTCAACACGTCTATTTTGTTATCGCGCCTTTGGGTACTTTGTTTTTGTGTTGCTTGTTGACTTAGGTAGATAAATGGAAGGGACTGATTTCTATTTTCAAGGTCAAACCAATATATGAGACAACTACAAAATCTTATATCACACCTTTTTTTTCTTCGAAGTAAGAGAGGATTTTGACATTCATTCTCATCTGCACATTATTATAAGTCGCGTGTAATAATAATAATAGGCGACAAACGCGTAGGTATAAAGGAAAAGAAATTCCATTGAAAGGGCGATGTTTCTGTAGTCAATAAGATCAATATCTGTAAAGATATAATTTTGAGGTCACTAGAAGAGATTCTGTTAAATCTAGGTAAAGATCGTGCGATATTAAACTTAATGTAGTCCAGACTTTATACTTCGGACTGGTTCGGACTACCCGTATCAACTTTCAAAGATATTTCAGTGACACCTAGAATACCTAGATGGATGAATACTAAATATAAGTACTTCCCTTTTATCAGATCGTAAGTATTATAGAATGGACATATTCATAGAAATAAAACTTAAACACAAATCTTTTAAAACAACTCTATGGACTCGGGTATGTTTCAAAACTGCAACCATTCACTGCTGGATAGGTCGCAGAATGCTATAAACTTTTGGCGATTCCAACAGCGATCCCCAAATTGAGTGGCAAATATGGGGATTATAGTCAAACCCTATTTAAGGGAGATTCAGCATCGGACGTTATTCCAGCTGATGACAACGAATATTAACGTAATTTAACAAAAAAAGGGTTCCAATAAAGTAATGAGTAGATTCTACGACAAAACCGACTTATTTGCGTAACATTACAGAACAGAGGTACATAATCCAGATTTGTTTGAGCCCCAAACTTCGGGACAGAAAGATTATTATATCAAACAATTCCGTGTCGAATGTTGACCGACTTGGAAAGGAAAGCATCTGTCGTTTTCAGAAAATTTTCGGAAAAACATCACACACAGTTTATCTTTGTAAAAGGCGATAGGAAAGTTCGTAGGACTTGTTGCTACAACTTTTTGCCTCCATATTGGAATGAAAGAAAAACATGGAATATAAAGCTTTTAGAAGGTTCTGGAACAACATACGTGCTGTATCTATGCGATCTTTGCTTTAGCGGTTTTACTTTTCGTCTGTTTTATTGAATGTGTTCTGTTTTATTGGTTGTTATTCGACACATTTCTTCTTCTTTCGAAGTATATTTCATACAGGCTACATTGTACATATTTTAGATAACAATATACCTTTGACATTTAGTCAAGTATTCACATTATTATGTACGTCTCTGTCATTAAAATACTATAAAAATTCTACAGACGATAAAGTCAGAACTATCTCCAAAAATACTCGTCGAAATCTTTATGAAGCTGTCTATTCAAGATTTCGTCGACTGTGAAATCCTCTGCCTTCAACTACATTTCTCATGTTCAGTCGTTTGTCTTGTACAGTTTAAAACAAGCGGCTTGTGGTTCAACGAGCTACTGGAAACAAAGGGAAGGCATAATGGCTGAGTTTGTAAAATATTATGGACCAAATTATATTGTTATCCTTGGTGGGTCGGCGAACTTTCACACAGTAACCGGATTATATGTATTAGCAGGTCAACTTACTATCATATCCCCATTTAATTCTCAACTTTATCTTTTTGTAGTTAAGTCGAAAATCTATTGTAGAATTTTGATGAATTGGGCTAGGTTCATGTGCTGTAGTGTCTGTTAGTACATAACTACATATAAGGCCTAACACGATGTGTTATTTTTTGTTAACGCTTCTGCTAATGTCAGTAATTAATTGTCAAGCGTTTGTTTTTGTTATAGGCACAGATCCGCAAATATGGCCTGAATCTATCTGATAATATGTTAACATCGTGGGCTAAATGATTATGATATTTTTATTTTGATATTACTATTGTGATATTTTTCGCAGATTTTCTACTTAAACCCTAAGATTGACTGGTAGAGAATGCCATATGGCATTAAGTTCGCCTTATGTGCCATAATCAAATTGTGTCCATTAAAGACTAAATAAATAAATAAATAAATGCCATTCTAATTTTCGTTTGGCATATTATTTTGTGTTAGATCTCAGGGGAACTAATTTTGTACTCTGATTGTAGTAACTAAATAGACGTATGTCTTTTTTTAATGTAGTGGAATATAAAATATAAAAATCCTTATCTCTCTTTCCTAAAATTAAATTTAACGTCACTTAACCTAGATATAAAACCTAGCACATAAACACCTTATAAACCTAGTAAAGGGTGCCCTTAAAGCACTGTCACTTAGTTTGTGGCAGTTGGACTCGCTTTAAAATATAGTAATGTATTTAGGACATAATAATTTGGCTCAGTTACCTAGACACGTGTCTCTTTATATTGTGGAACGAAGTACTAGGGTAGATCAGGCTAAAGGCTAAATATAAAGGCATCGTTGCTAAAACCAAAATGTTATCTGTTGGGATTTTATTAAGTTGTAGCCTAAACTACCTGCCAAGGTCATAAACAAAAGCCATATTTTAAAGTTCCTTGAAATAAGAAGTGAAATGGTTTTCACGTGGTTAGAATTGACAACCCACACCTCTGGAGTTACGGTACGTCTTGTTCCGCGCGCGCTTCATCAGAAGCATCAGACCACCAGAGATGGGGCCCAGTAGAGCTGATGCCCGATACGAAGCCGCGGAAGGCCTAACGGGATGCCGGGGCTCCGGCTTGAATAGCAAGAGGAGTAGGAACGGGATGGTTTTTAGCCAGTAAGCTAAATGATTTACCCCGATAAAAAAACACCGGAGTTAACATACGTATGACCTGATACAGATCACAGGCAGCCGCTAAATGCAAGTCGCTTCGAACCGGATGCTCTAGCAGTAATAGGATGAAGCCTATGTTCAGCAGTAGACGTCTTACTGACAGAGATGACTATTAGGCTTGTGTGCGTCCTCTTTGATAGATTGTGTTTGCAGGAAGACAGCAAAAGAGTAGCTATTCTTGGACTAAGCAAATCTGAGTCACATTATTGACTTGTTTAAGTAGCAAATGCTTTGAAACAAATTATAAATGAGTACACGAGATAACAGTATGACTAACAACACAACGTAACAAAGGATAGAAAGAAAACAATTCCTTAAGGTATTGTCTCGAATTTCCAGAACATTTGTCACAAGGCTATCTTTTTTAAATTGGTATGTTTTCTCAATTGTAAGACAATGTTTTGTTAAAAGATATGTGTCTTGTTTTGACCTTCTTGTTATTTAGATAATTTTGTTTGTGTAACTGCCATGAAGGCTTTAATTATTATGCATTTGTATCATTTTAATTTGGTATGGTTTCGAATTAACGTAAACCATTTCAATTCCATAATCAGTTATTACAAGAAAAACTTACATTCCAATAGATTAATCTGAAAGTGGTTTTCGCAAAGTGATTGATGAAATGAAGTCATATTTGGAGAT